AACCACAGTATTCCAAGTGCCTCTGGTTAGACTAAAACTACCTCTACTCCTGATTTGTTCACCCTTACTGAAGAAGTCTAGGATGGCGCTTCTCTCCACAATTGAGAGTTTTCTCTGAACTGTACAACTCCATTCAGGACCTGAGTGGTCTTTGTATTTGAAGACCACTGTGAAAGTGTTTGTCCTAGGATCATGGCTTGCTCCTATTCTCCAGAAGGGGGGCCCTTTCATAACCTTCCCAGTGCACTCCCAAATTAATAACATTCTTGATATCATAAGATTATAGAAGGAAGATGAATTCATCGATGGGAAAGTGCTTTCTCTGTGACAGGGGTCTAAGAACTCCAATGCACTATGGAGATTATACTGCCCTGGATACAGCTGCAGAAGTTCATGTGAATTTATATGTGAATTGACTGCTTCCCAGAGAATGCAATCACTTTCCTGTCTATGTACCCAGTCATCTCCAAGACGTTTTGTTTTGTTTTCATATACATTGGCTACTGCAGTGACTACTGAGACACAATAATTACATTTTTTTATTTTGGTAAAAGATGAAAATGTTTACTATTTTAACTACTTTTAAGTGTGCAGTTCAGTAGCACACTGAAGTCTTTATATCTTCTCTATATAAAATTCTAATAAATATGAGCTATCTGCATCGCATGTTTTGACTTTAATCTAGAAAGATATTCTATATATTTACATCACCACCATTCATTTCCAGAGTGTTCATCTTCCCAAACTGAAATTTCACACCCATTAAATAACTTCCCATTTGCACTTGCCCCTTGACTCTGACCACCTCCATTCCACTCTATCTTTATGGATTGACTTCTCTAAGGACCTCGTATGAATGAAATCATACAGCATCTGTCCTCTGGTACTGGCTTATTTTACTTAGGATAATGTCTTTATGGTTCTTCCAGGTGGTAGCATGTATAAGAATTTCCTTCTTAAAACTGAATAATATTCAATTGTATGTGTGTACCATGTTTGTTTACCCATGTTGATGAATATTTGGGTTGCCTCCACCTTTTGGCTACTGTAAATAATGCTGTTATGAACAGGGGTACATAAATAAGGTGTGTATTTTATGACCTGTTCCCATCAAGCTATTAAACAAAATTTTAATATGGATAATTATACTCTAATGTACCTCTTTTATAACTCAGAACAATTATATGATAGAATTTTTAAAAGTGGGTCACACTTGTATTCTTTGTTGTGTCACATTAGAAAGATGCAAGGAACATCTACAAATGCCCATTTTACACTGAGTTGGAAAAGCCCATTAGAGTCTGTCAGTGAGGAACTCACTCTCTAAAAGACAAATTACACAAGCAGCTGCAAAACTCTCAGGTAACTCTGCTGCTCCTGTGTCAGTCAGAGACAGTTCCATGAACCTTTGTCCTTCTAGAACCTTTTCCTTCCCCCACTTTCCCTTTGGGATGACTAACTTAACCCACCATCAGTCTCTTCACTAGAATTTCTGTCCTGAGGCTGTGACTCTCTCAGCATCATCAGTAACCAAACAATCCAGACCTCTCTAAGGGTTTCTACATTTGAGAGACATAATCAAGTACCACAAAGGTCAAGGTCAATTTCTTATTGCTCCACACTTCTTTTGACCCAGACAGACTGCCACCTAGAGTCATTTGCAAATGTGATAAGAATGAAATGACGAGAGAGGAGGATTCTAAGGAAAGAAACATTCTCAGAGCTGGAAAATCAGGTCTTCTTTCTTATCTACAAAATAGGTAAAGTAATCTAGAGTTGCAATATCACATGAAAGGTGCTTTTCTAGTTGAAGTTTCTGCAACAGGGAGCACCAGTAGGTGTCAGTTGTCATTCCCCCAAGGAAGCTTACAACATTACTGTGATGTGGCTCTCTATCCCCTTTTTATAACTAAATAAACTGAGCCTCAGAAACATTCAGATCTCTTTAAGATGATGGAGTCTGGATGTGAACAAAATCCTGTGTGACTCCAGTGTTACTACTCCTTCTGCCCCCTCTGATGGGGGCATTTCACTTATTTTCAGTGAAATAATTCTAAGAGGAGTGATGATATCTGTGTCTGTCTGTGGAGGCCTCAGAGTTTCACAGAGACCAGTGAGGGGCCTCCTTTTCAAGCCCCAGCAGTACTAATTCACCCCTTTGAGGGCAGTTCTTGGAGCACAAGGAAGATCTACTTCTCCTTTATTCTCTGTTGGCTCAGTCCCTTGTGTCCTTATTACAAGGGCCAAAAAATCCTCCCACCTCCCCACCCCTTTTTTACCCTGCTAGAGCCTGAATTTTCCCCTCATCCCCTTATTCACACACTGAAATCCTAATCTTCAAGATGATGGTAAAGGAGGTGGGGACTTTGGGAAGTTACTAGGTCATGAGCGTGGACTCACACCTTATAACGAGATTAATGACTTTATGGAAGAGGTTCAAGGAGCTCATTTTCCCTTTTTACCTACCATGTGAAGACACAGCTAGAAGATATCATCTATAAATGATAGATTTATATAAATGTTAGGAAACTGGCCCATACCAGACAATGAATCTAACAGTGTCTTGATCTTGGACTTCCCAACTTCCAGATATAAATTTCTGTTGTGATATAACTCACCCAGTTTATGTTATTTTTGTTATAGCAGTCCAAATGAACTAAGACAAGCTCTAATACAGATGGCTGTGCATTTGTTTTTCAACACAGAAAATAGATAGAAATAAGTTAAAGATGTAGGTAGCTCCTCAGGTAGAACTTCCTAACTCCTATGTTCTGGAACATACATATGAGTTCAAAAAGTTGTATCCGCTTTTCTAGGAAGGCGATCAGAAAGAGGGAGACCATACCCGACCTGGCCTACTTGGACTGGGTACAGTTCTGCCTGGAGACTGGGGGAGGCAACAAATGACCTCCAGAGAGCCTGACGACATGGGGAGCTGGGTACCTCTGGTTCAGCCACCCGCTTGGCCGCAGATGTTCTCTGTCATCAATCACCCAGTGCATCTGTTTGCTGTGCTGCTGTTTAAAGAGTGAAGCGTTCACTAATTGAAAACTAAAAGATCCATCCTTCTCACTCACAGTCAGCATGAAATCACTCAGCCATGCAAGATCAGGGTGAAAAAGGCAGTTCAGAGGTAACATGTCCTTGGGTTGGAGCATCCCCATGGAGGTCACCTGGCTTCTGCCACCTGACCAAGCAAAGCTAACCTCCCCATTTTGGAGCAGCCAGGGATTATTATAGCTTGTCTAGCACATCCTCATGTATTATCCTCAATGCAGCCCAGAGAGGTAGGTATTATGAGCCCTGATTTAAAGATAATAGCACTGAGATTCGGAGAGATTAAATAATTGAAGAAAAATCACACAACTGATAGGTGACAGAGGCAGGACACCAACCTGCTTTGACCTTTGAACCCATGTAGAGGTGCTGGATTGGGAGATACCAAGTCCCTCCTGAAGTGGATTAAATCTTGGAAAGAATGGCCCAAGCGTCCACAAGGGAAATTGTGGGGTTTCCACCATACCTGTTAAGTTCAAATTGCTTTAAAAGGTAATAAGGCAAAATGTTAGGATTTTTGATTGTTTGAACACTCTCCTATCAAGCCTGCAGGGAAGATGAGGACAATCCAGATTGACAGAAAAGGCAGGGTCAGGGGGAGAGGCACATTGTGGCCACTAACACCTTCCCCCCCTCCCTTTAAATGCTTTCATAGATGGTCATATTTGAGAGGAGTGCTAACCTGTGCCTCACCAGACAGGGACTGCGCCAATGCTTCTTCTCGCTGGGCCTTGTTTTCTGAAGTGAAGAAGGATAAGATCAATGGGAAGGTCTTTTCCAACTCTAATTTGTATAATTATGGGGGTCATTGAAGGAAATTTCATTTTTCTGGTTCCAGCCATACAGGGATGACTCTGCTACACATTGCTAGTCCTTTGTTCATGCTGTTCTTTCTGCCGGGAATGCTGTGCCAACTTCTCTTTGAGAACTGGTGTGGTCCCTTAATGGCTAGCTCCTGTGAGGTTTCCTTCCCTCTCCCCACTCCCCCAAAGGCCCTGTTTAAGCCACAAGTATTTCTCTGGAGGACTCCATTCTGGATTGGTAGGATGCGAGAGCAGGTGCGTAGCTTTATTTCTCTTTGTGGTCCCTGAGTCTGACATGCAACCCCTCAGAGGGAGGACAGTGAGCAACTAATTGCTGAAGAAGATGGAAAGAAAAGGAGAAAGAAAGATGTTCCTTGGCAGCCCAAATGAGCCTGGGGAGGGGCTGCAGAAAAGTACGACCTCTCTCCCTCTTCCTCCTCTACTCCCCATCACACACACCTAGGTTTGGAGTCAAAGGTCATCTGGAACCTTAAGGCCTGCATTTCCACCTCAGGTCAACTCCACCAGGCGTTTCCTCTGGAAAAGTCAAGGAACAGAACTGACCGCACAGATGTTCAGACCTGAGATCACACAACGGATCCTAGACCTCCCCCAAAACTCTTACTCCTTACATGACTCGCTGGATGCGAGGTGCCTTCAGCATCCCTTGGCCTCTGATTCCTCAAAGGAGGGGACAGACAAGCAGGAGTTGAGAACGCTGGATGAAGGCAGACTTGGATAAACTGTGTTACTTGGCCAGTGTAGGGAAAGCCTGGTGGGCAATCCAGGGCTCAGTTCTCATCTCAAAGCCAGACAGCTCGGTTGTCGCCTCTAAACTAGGGATGAAGAATCCCCCATGCCCTCCCAGCTTTCCCACAGGCCAGGGGTTCGCAGCAGCACCAAAGAGCACGGGTGGGTGGGGCCTGCCCCAGGGGCGGGGCCTCGGGCGCCTCGTGGCCAGGGCGGCCCCGCCCCCTCCTCCCGGGCCCCAGTGCTCCGGCGCCGCGGAGCTGTCCAGCCTCAGTGTTGGAGCTGGCAGCCTCCCGCGCGCGCCGCGCCGCCTCCGCGCCTCGTCCCCGCGCTGCGCTCCTGTCCTCCCGCCCCGCAGCCGGCCCCGCCCCGCCCCGCCTCGGCCGGTCCACCGCTCCTCACTGGCGTGAGCCGGTCGAGCGGCTGCCCGCCGGGGGCTCTGATCGGCGCGGCGGGGCCGGGAGTCAGGGACCCGCCGAGGAGAGCGGCGGCCCCGGACGGCTGCCGGAGGGGCGGCCGCGCGTGGATGCGGCGGGAGCCGGAAGCCTCGAGCAGCCGGCGCCGTCTCTGCCCCCGGGCGCCCTATGGCTTGAAGGTAAGCAAGGGCCGGATGGAGCGACAGGGGACCCAAGTCTAGGCACTGTCACAGGGAGAGGACAGGGAGCTAGAGGGCTGTGCGCCAGAGACTGGAACTTTTGTCCGGTCATTCCAGCGCTGCCTGCCTGAGAGCGCCGTCGGGCAGCCTACCCCGGGCCGTCCGGAGCCCTGCGGCTGCCATCCCCTCTCCCTCCTTCTTGGTGTCCTTTGCACCGCCCAGGCGGGAATCTTCACCCCAGGCACGAGCCGGCGCGACCGGGGCAGCCTCCCCGCGGGGCGCAGAGAGAGAGTCCGGCTGAGCACCGGCTTCGGAGAGCAGCCGTCTCCCGACGATCTCGGTGGAGCACTTGAGCCCAGGACCCCGGTGCACGCAGCCCCAGAGGACGAAGGGTTGTTTTTGTCAACTCCGTATTGGCGCAACCTGAGACTTCAGTTTCAAAGGGCAAAAGATAAGGATGAGGGCGCTCCCGCTTCTTGGTTGGTCGCTGTCCTTGGTACTGAATTTTCGTTCTCCTTGTTCTCTGGGTTTGAGAGCCAGTAGGGGAGGGAGCCTGGGATTCCAGACCCAGCCTGCGAATGCGGGTAACGGTGGGGACAGTAACAGAGGGTGACTGTACAGCTCTGGAATGGACCAGGAGTCCTGCTAGGTCAGTGTGCGGAGACAAGAGGCAGCTCAAAGCGTCAGACAGTTCGTATCCTCATTCCTGTCTACAGCGGGCAGCCTGTGAGCGGTGGAGGAGCAGAGGTAAGAGGATGCGTGTGCATCTACACAACAGACTTCACCATGGACACAAGTCACATCGCTGCAGCTCCATAGGGACAAGCCCTCGCTCTCAGCCACAACGAAGCAGTCTGAGCGAGTCACTGTTACCCCTTCTGGCGCCCCACTACTTTCTGTGCTGAGGCTCCTGAGGTTGGGTGAGGTGCAAGGCACTTTGTAAATCTTCTCTAGATCTTTCTGCAGATCCAACCATTTCTGGATTTTTCTTTTCTGGTACTAGGGATTGAGCCCAAGGCCTTGCACTTGCTAGGCAAGCACTCTACCACTTGAGTTAGGTCCCCAGCAGGCTATAAACCTTTCAGACTAATCCTTGCTCCTCTCCAGGGAACTACGTGTTCAGTGCTCTCTCTCCCCCCAGATGCAAATACTTGTGCTTATTCTTGATTCATCCTGCAGCATTAAGGCCACTTGAAAAAGCATTCTTTTCGTCCTTTCCATTGCTGCTGTTTAATGAGGGTAGGCAGAGAGGGAGGCCATGATGAATGTGACCAATTTCCCCAGAATCAGCAAGCTGGTTTGCTGGGTCTCAGCCCCCCGCCGTGGACTTCTCTGCTTAATGTTCAAAACACATGGCAAATTTGTTTCCAGGGGGTTTGATGCTATCTCTGAACTCAGATATCTGACAGGGAAAAGGATTGGATTAGACCTAGAGCCAAATAGGGGCCATGGAAGTCCCAGTCTTCACCTCGTAAAGAATGTTCTGAGTTCCATCCACCTTTCTATCACAGCCTGAGGATGAAAGACACCTGGTAAATGGTGAGATTCCAATCTGTTGTTGAGGTCCGAGGCAGCATTTCTGTAAGATATTTTCTAAAACGAGCTCTCTGCATCTGAATCATCTGGGAAGCTGGTTTAAAATGCATAATTTTACTTCTTCACTGAAAAAATGCTGAATGAGAATCCCAAGCCTGAATGAGGCTCATTAACTTATGGTTTTAACAGTATTTATGGGTGGTTTCTATGTACCTCAGGTTGGGAAATCCCCTCTCATAAAACTCACACTCCTAAGAGAGTCTGTGTACATTTTAAATTGATACAATTAAGGTCTTTCATTTATCCCATTGTCTCCTGAAGTTATATATGTTAAATTCTTCACATATGGGACTTCCACTGAAGGCTCATCCACCTGATTCAATTCTTTTGTTGTGATGAAGTGTAAAACTCAATCTCCTCTTCCCCAGGATCCTCTGGGCTCTTTTTCTTTCTAAAACATATATTCACATCTCTAGGAATCACCAATATGGCGGCAGATGGACTTGCGTAAATACTAACTTATCCTCTCTGGGTGATGACTCAGTTTTCCTCTTCTCCTCCCCTTCTGTGTTTGTTATGGTCTTTCCTTGTGCATGTGTTGTGATCTGCTAATACAATGGTTTCTGAAATGCCAAAGAGCGGTTAGTTCAGACTAGTAGCACATCATGCCCCTCAAGGCTGGTAGCCACTCGTGCCCTCCTGGCATTGACTATGTGGATTTGATTTTTGTGCTCTGAAAACTAGGAGTCCAGTAATGATGCTTGTAAGCCAGTCAGTCTTCTACCTTCATTGCAAGGTTGGATTATTTCTATGTACAGCAGGCAATTATAATGGGAATGAGGTAGGAGAAGTTGAGAATGAGAGAAATCTTTCTCTTCCATCTCTCATACCAGGGGAAGCAAAGAAAAACTTAAGGTCTTATCAGAAACAGGGGCTCAAATACTTCTGAGATTGACCTGCTGAAGCCAAATGGATCTAATGTCACTGTTCTCTGGGTAACAAGTGTAAGGAGAAAGGCATGTGGACTCTGCCTGAAGAGAGCTATCTCCATCATCCCTGAGAGTAAAAGTCAAATTTTGGTGTTAGGCAGAAGTGTGACTGTGAAGATTGCACAAGGTGTAGTGTGTGTGTGTGTGTGTGTGTGTGTGTGTATACACATGGGGTGGATATCATGTATGAAGAGACCTCTTTGAGCCAATACTGCCCCTTCTAGTGACTCACACTTTCTGACCTACTGCTTTCAACTTCTACTTCCTTTGTTGTGTTTCAGCACCTAGGAGGGGAATAGAAAATCGAAGTTGAGACTTTATAACCCAAAGCCATATTTGCAAAAGCTTCTAGGACCATCATGTATATTATCAACTCACAATAATCTAAGGTCTGAGGTCTTGAAAAGAACTTAGTAGTCCCCACCATTCCCATTTCCCCTAAGACCTTATTTACTGGTCTTCAGAGGTTAGCCTGGATGCCCCTATCTCCAAACATGGCAGCTGCCCAGAAATACTCTTTCTCTCCTGTAACTAAAGTTCTCTCTCAAAAAAAAAAAAAAAAGAAGAAAAAAAGAAAAAAGAAAAAGAATGCTGTCAAGTTTTTAGTTCCTGATCCTTAGGATTTGACTTAGTGGCTAAAGTTTCTCCATCCTGCATGTAAGAAACTTGGAAACCACAGGTTGGTTTAGCCTTTCAGCAGGCACTGTCCTCTTATTTAGCTGAATCCCAGCACCGTTCTCCTTACTTCCCCACCCCTAAGAAGGCTTCTTATGGCTCCATGAGGGCTCCAAGGTTTGGCTTTGGGCTTCTATATCCTACAGCTTCCTAAGGGTATGAAAGTTGCTTAGTTACCAGTTCTGGGTGGTAAACTGATTTTAATGTCATACATTTAATTCCTTTAATAGTGTTGGAATTCAATGTTACTATATCCCTGCCTCTCCCCTGTCCTCATTATCTGTGTAATTGAAGATTTCTTTCTTATTTTTAAAATAATAGAATCATATTATCTAATTGCGTAGGATTAGACAATAGCTTGATTATAGTGTTTGTACATGGGACTGGAGAAGAAATAAAACTATCACTCAGCCAACTGGGTTGCTTCTGTTGGAGTCCAGAGAGAGGAGAGAAACTTGCCCTCTGGACGCCACATGTCCTCTCTTCTCATCCCTTTCACCTCAAACTGAGAAAACGAGTTACATCCACACTCTTCCAGCCGGTTTTCCCCTGAGAGAGCACATTCTCATCTCTCCCTAGGAGATAAGGAAGTATTTCTCTGCAGAGGAGCCCAGGTCCCTCATGGCTTGGGTATATGAGGAGGAGCCAGAGATGACTCACTGGGGCCTGGGGGCTCCCTCCTTCTCCCATAGAAGAGGCTGCAGTGTTACAAACTTTGAGATTTAGAGGCTGCTGGGAATGACTGGGAGAGTATGGGACACTGTGTGTGAAGGTGGGGACAGGTAAGAAATTCTTGTGGGAGCTCTTGAAATATGCTGATGTGAAGTACACATTAAATACCCGCATCAACTCAGTGTAATTTGGGTAATTTTGTTGTAGTCTGCTGGCACCTGCGAGGATATTCACTTTCCCTAGAAGGAGATGCAGGAAGTCTTTGCTGTCCATAGGGATGGGAAGAGAAGAAGGGAGGACCCCTGACTCCCTGGAGCCCTCTGAATGATGTCAGCTTGCTCCCAGGTGGAGGCTGATCCATGATGTCAGGCAGACTCAGCCGCAGTGGCCCCGTCAATAGACCTCTGGGCAGTCCTGCCTTCCAGGACATTGCTGCTCAGTGCAGAATTGCATCCACAGCCAAAGGGACTTTTCCCTGAAGATGTCTGGGAGACAAAGTGAGTCCTGAGGCCCATCCATTCGTCAGTGGTTCCTTCAGAATGTGCCTGCCCTTCTCATTGCCACCCCTGCTTTGTTGTTATTGTTTGGGTCTAAGTGGCCCAGCAGGGGAAAGGCATTAGAAATGAAATTATTTTTGTTGCACACTGTATAATTACCTCTGTTCCTTCCTGTTACCCCAGGCAGCAACATCACGAGCAGCAATTCCCCGGGAACCCTTGGTCTGGGAAAGTGGCTTGCGCATAGGCTTCCTTAGAACAGCTGCTTTTGACAAGTGGACCTGCTCACCAGTCCCTCCACTGCTGGCCTCATCATTGTAGCAGCCAACATTTATCACGCACCTGCTGTGTGCAGGGCACTGTGCTCAGCACTTGACGTATGTCTTTCATTTCAATTCCCTACCGTACAACGCCGTGAAATAGGCACTCTTGTTATCCCCAGTTTGCAAAGGAAGAAGCATGGGCTTAGTGAGTGGCTTGCACAAGGTCACATGGCTAATGTGAGGGGTGGAGATTCAAAACCAGACTGTCTGATGCTTAAATAATAACGCTTTCTGATTTACATGACATAAATCATAAGAAAGGGAGAAAGATAGGGACAGGGGTATATCTTCTTTAATAAACTGAAGTA